GGAGAAAGACAAAGGGAGGAGGATTGAGACAGATTCCTCAGTATGGCTCCACCGCTTACCACAAATGATGATGATATACAACTAAGTCAACACTCACTATCTGTCTCCCCTGAGGAAAAAGAACTGAAGCCTTCATTTGGGTCTGATAGGAAGCTATATTTAGGAGACAGGGTGCCAGAACAAAGTCTATTATGCTTTGTAAAACAAATGAAGGCAGAAAACATACAAAATAAGGATTTTCTACCTTCGGTCTAAGGACAAAACTGAATATGGGAAGCTGGGTGTAGTGGTGCATGCCTGTAATCCCAACACTCTCAGAGGCTGAGGCTGGAGGACTGCAAGTTCAAACCTGGCCTGAGGAAATTAGCAGGACCCTGCCTCAAAATAAAGTTTTTAAAAAGGGTGCTGCAGATATAGCTCATTACAAAGGTCCTGGGTTCAAGCCCCAGTACTGAGGGAAAAAAAAGGCTGAATATAGGAAAATTAATTCAAAGATAACTTGATAGCTTTAAAGGCATTTGACTGAAAATATTACTTGGATTTTATAACAGAAAGAATTCATGACAACCCTTCCAGTTTTTACATTTCCCCTGTCTTTTCTCAAAGGCTAGTGTGCCTGAGAATAAGGCAAATCTCCCCTTCAACAGTGACCTAGAACATGGAACCTGAGCTCCACTCATATGTGCTTCTGTTAAACCTTAAAACATAACTTATGTGCACAATGCATATTAAAAACAAGGCTATTCCACTTCCCAGTATCACAAAAGAAAGCAAAACAAAGAGAAACTGTATCATGTCTGCATTATGCTTACAAATAATCAAAATGATAAAATCAGAACGGGAGGCCAGGGATTTAGCTCAGTAGCACCACGCCAGCCTTGCAAGCGCAAGGTCCTGAGTTCCATCCCCAGTACCAAAAAAAAATCAGAATTGGGGTGCCAAATTAAATGAAAATTAAATTCACAATACAACATAGTTTCCAATGAAAAAATTTCTCACAACAACTAGACATATAAAATTCCTTTTTATACTCTTTCTATGTAAAAGAGACAAAACCAATGTGCTCTGAAAAACTTTCCTAAATAAGATAAACTCAGTCTGGAAGGCAGTGTGCCCATAACTATTTTGCTCAAGTTTGAATCATTTGATTCTTTCAAACTTGCTAAACTTTATTTAAACTATCTTTGAATACCAGAGATATAAATATACATACTAAATCAGAAATGGACCTTGATCAGTAACTACACATTAGAATGACTCTGCACTGAGATGAATGTAATGATGAGTGGCTTCTACACTTCCCCTTAACATCATAACGTGAGACTTTCTAAAGACCTCAATTTAGTGTGATGAACTGCATCCCCCTCTATAAACCCAGATTCTTACACTGAAGCCCTAAACCCCAGGGTAATGGTATTTAGAGACCGGGCATTTGGGAGGCCACACTCATGATGGGATTGGTGCCTGTTAAAGAGGCACCAGACAGCTTGCTTACCTCACCTCTCCCCAATGGGAGAAGAAAGCCCTTTTAAAGAAAGCTTTTAAAACTGAGAAAATACGTTTCCATTATTTAAACCACCCAGTAGAAGGTATTTTGCTTTTTGTTTTTTTGAGACAGTCTGGCAGTGTAATTCAGGCTGGCCTCGAACTCGGGGCAATCCTTCTGTCTCAGCCTCCCACGGGCTGGAATTACAGGCATGTGACACCATGCATGGTTCAGGTATTTTGTTATGGCAGCCCAAGTTGACTAAAATGGTTTCTTTCCTCTCTTACTATTAAAAAAGTGAGGGCCGAGGATTTAGCTCAGTGGTGCCACTGTCTGCCTTGGAATGCAAGGTCCCGAGTTCAATCCCTAGTGCCAAAAAAAAAAATAGAAACAATCTTTTACATGGTGATACTCTTTTTCTAGTTCTTGGTTATTCTATTATCATCACATACTGTATTTCTCAAACTGTAAGTTGTGAAGGTCATAAAATCAATTTTTAGTAAGTTTCAACTAACATTTTATTTTATTTTTTTTTTGGTACTGGGGATCAAACTTGGGTCCTTGCGCTTGCACAGCAGGTGGCAAAACCACTGAGGTAAATCCCCAGCCCACAACTAACATTTAAAAAAATAAAATAGAGGGCTGGGGATTTAGCTCAGTGGTTCCACTGCCTGTCTTGCAAGCGGAAGGACCTCAGTTCGATCCCTGGTACCAAAAAAATAAAAATAAAATAGAATAAAAAAATCAGGGCATACTAATATATGAGGGTAAGTACGTTTTATAAATATTTTGGTTTAAAAAATATATGTATGTAAAATATGTATGTGTGTATGCATGTATGTACGTTTACATGTAACTTTTGATATATATACACATTTATCAGGTGGTGATGAATGTTATGGATGAGTCATGCTTGAATTTCGTTTTGTTTGTTTTTTTGGTACCGGAGATCGAACTCGGGACCTTGCACTTGTGAGGCAGGCGGTAAAACCACTGAGCTAAATCCCCAGCCCTAGTCATGCTTGAATTTCAAAAGCCACAGTACACATAGTGGGCTTTATTACATCTTCACCAATTGTTACAATAGAGCTTCAACAAATAATTCTTTGTTTTTTCGGGTTTTTTTGGATACCGGGGATCAAACTCGGGTCTTTGCACTTGCAAGGCAGGCAGTGGAACCATGGAACCACTGAGATAAATCCCTGGCCTCAATAAATTAATTCTTTATTCAGAATCTAGTTCAACCTTTCAGATTTCTAATCACCGATTACTCATATTCTACATAGCTGAGAGTAGAGACTTCTTAGAAATGAGTCAAATTATCAGATCAATAAACTAGTCAAATATATTTTCTAGTTGGTATTTCAATATAAAATATATTGGAGATAAAAATGATGAATGTGGGCTGAGGATTTAGCTCCGTGGTTCCACCGCCTGCCTTGTAAGCGCAAGGACCCGAGTTTGATCCCCAGTACCAAAACAAACAAACAAACAAAAAGAATGATGAATGTGAAAGCAGAAAAACATCTCTATACATATATGATAAGCTTTCAGCAATGTGGCCCACTGGCTCAGTAAGCCAGTATACATTCTAAAATACTACACTAAAGTAGTAAGTATTTCTATCCATGGCACAAAATAAAATCAAAGAAGAAACAGAAATGAACCTAACTTTCAATCAATTACATAATTTTTCAGATTTTACCAACTTTCTATAAAACAACCTACCCATATTTGTATTTTGCAGGGAATTTTAACTGACATAAAAAATTTACTGAATAGACATTCTGAACAAACAACTGTATTTTCAGAAAACACAGAATACAAGTAAGTGATGTGTATCTCCAACTGCTAAATAAGATGCAAGCGTCTGTTTTAACAGAGCAAGACAAATCCTGGGGAGAACAATTCTTTCTGTACCAAAACAGAACACACAAAATTTTATTAATTTAGTAAGATAATTACTAAATTTAGGAGCTGAGGAGAGGAATTAGCCCATGGGAGGTTCAATTGTTCTTCATCAGATATATCAGTAATCCCAGTGGAATCAAAGAAATATTTCATCTTTCAGAAATCATGCTGCCAGCACTATGTTACTCCAAACAGGCTGAAACTCAATTTCTCTCTCCTTTTACATTACTAATTCTAACTCCAAAGTCCAAAAATGGAGCAATGGAGCAATGCCTGAGAAACCAACTGGGAAAACAGAAGGAAATTATCTGGGCTTTTCAGTGTACAGGCGCACATACTTCATCTAGCCGAAGAATGTCCTGCATTCCAAAGCTCTTAACTATAAAAGAATCCTTAATGTTTTCTTGAGGACATAATAAAAATAATCAAAATTCTAAATTTTAAATGTACTTCAAAGACTAAAACACACAAACTGATTATAACTTCTCAATACTTTCCAGGCATTATCCATTTCATTCAAACTAAAATCAAAACCCTTAGCCATACTGGAGGCCCCATATGACCTGGCCCTACACCTATAACTTCATTTCCAGCTACTCTCCCTGTCACCTCATCTGCACTGGCCAACAACTGTATGAAAAAGTGCTTGACATCATTATTTTTCATGGAATTAAAAAAAAAGAAATCACAAAGAGACAACTAAAATTCATAGAAATGGCTAAAAATCAAAAGGATTGACAATATCAAGTATAGGAAAGGATGCTGAAAAACAGCAAATTTCACACACTGCTGGGAGTACAAATTTGTAAAACCAAGTGTTGGGCAGCAGCAACTAAATCAAAGCATGCATACACTTAATGGTGCAGCAATTCCACTCCTGGATATAAGCCACAAACAAACTGTTGTTTATGCTTATCAAACAACATGCACAAGAATGTGAATATCAGTTTTATTCATAATAGTCCCCAAACTAAACTACCTAAATGTCTACCAACAGTAGAACAAATTAATAAACCATGATTTATTCAGACAATAAAACAATTCATAGCAATAAAAAAGAATGCTATATGCAACATGGAATAATATCAACTAAAAGGACTCAGACACAACAAAGTATATACTAGATAACCCCATTTACAAAAGTTCAAACACAGGCAAGAATAATCTATGGTGGGCTGGGAATTTAGCTCAGTGGTTCCGCTGCTTGCCTCACAAGTGCAAGGTCCCGAGTTCGATCCCAGGTACCAAACAAAAAAGAATAATCTATGATAACAGAGGAAGAATTGTGATCACCTTTTCTTGTTGGTCTGTTCTGAACTAGAAGTGTTAAAGTGTTAAATGGGAAGAAGCATGAGGGAAACTTCTAGGTGCTGGACGTGCTTTATACCTTGATCTGGGTGGTTGTTACACAAGTATATACACATGTACAAATGACACACAAAAAATATATACACAAAACATGCATTAATTTATAACCCAATACACTCCACCTACTCCTGTAGGAACTTTTGGCTCTGTCAGGCCATCATTTATTATTATTTCTGACTCCAACAAAGGGGAAAAGGGTACTAAGTGGGTAATTTATGTTCAAATAATTGCTTACCTTTAACAAAGGGCAGCTGCAAAGGTTGGGAAAGGAAAGTGGAAAATTAACTCCAAGAAGGAAATCCTTGTTTCTCAGATATCTCTGCTGGCTCTCCCCTTCTGGCTCTCCCCAGAAGCGCAGCTGATGGAGCCTGTAGGAGGCTTTCAGAGACAGGAAAAGAGCTAACCATCTGAAACAAACCACAGCAGACATGCTTATTCAGTGCTCCTCAGAAGTCTAAGGGTTGTTCACAGCAGTGAGGAACTCTCCAAAGGATGTCTCTTCTTGCACATCTTTTCTGTAAATCTTAAAAATTTTAGCAATAGTTCTTTCTTATTTTCAGCTAAAGCTGTTTTACATTTTTATTCTATAAATTCTTTGGCATGAGTTGGTTTGTTACAATGAATATTAAAATCCTGTTAAACCTCCTCTCAATATTCAATATTCACCTCTATCACAAAAACTCACAGTCTAAAACATCTTCATGTTAAGTAGAGTGCATTCCAAATAGGGTCCTTATTAAATAAACACAAAGCCATAAGAGGTCAGTGAAAGCCATTATACCAAAGAATAAGAACAAAGAACTAAGTTCCCAGAATACTTGAGGCAGGCTATGCTGTGGTCACTACCAGCTAAGTGAATCATGAGCCATCATTTGCCCTGTAGAGAAGCAAGAAGAACATAAAAAAACTAACCAGAAATTACAGAATTAAAAGATCCGGTAACATAAGGGAAAAGCCTAAATATTCACCACCACTCCCTCCCGTGGTACTAGGAATTGAACCCAGGGCCTTTACACTGAGCTACACCCTAGGCCTTTTTAAAATTTTGAACAGGGTCACATTAGGTAACCCAGGCTGGGTTTGAACTTGTAATCCTCCTGCCTCAGTCTCCCAGAGTATTGGAATTACAGGCATGTGCCACCATACCCAGCTAATACTCTTCACTTAAAAGTATAACATGAAGTATCATGTAATTAAATGATCAAAACAATTATAATTTCCTAATTTAAAAAATGTTATTCTTAAGAGAAAAAGAATGAGAGGCTAGGGGCCGGGGATTTAGCTCAGTGGTTCCGCCTCCTGCCTTGCAAGGAGAAGGACCCGAATTCAATCCCCAGTACCAAAAAACCCCCCAAAAAACAAACAAAAAAGAATGAGAGGCTCCAGTCATGTAATATTAAATGTTTAACTGTATAGTATATGTGCTCACTTCAGCAGCACATATATAATAATTGTATAGTATACATCACTTGCCCCTGTTTATTCACATGAGCAATAAGCAAATAGTGATAAGCAAACTCCTTACCTGGCCAAAAGTCCCTGAAGCATAAGATTTGCCATTTCTGCTGGAGATACATCAATAAAGCGAAGAAAAGAAAAACAGCTTTCTTCATTAATGCCTGGAATATTAAAGAATAAGATTCTCCTGATTAGACAATCAAGAGATAATATCAATACTAAAGCCTACCGAACTGAATTTTCACTTAGGCATCCAAAGATATTCTAAAGAGTTTGATCTAGACATAGTTTCACTATAATCACAGGTAGCAGAAGCAGGCCAATGAGATAGGGTATATATGGACCAGACTGGACATGGTTCAATCAGTTATCTTTGGGGTTTTGGGATCTTTGGATAATTGCCTTTTCTTTTTATTGGTCCTGGAAAAAGAAGAGGATAGGACAGAGAGAAAAGATTCTAAGCCTTGGCTTTAATATTTTGGACAATACTTGAAGATGAACAGCTCCTTTTCCTACAGTAAGGAGGAAGGAAGGAAGTCTCATTAATAAGAGTCCAGCATTAATTTTGTCAAGTTTCAAGAATAAAAAATTCTTAAGAGGCAAGTAGGGCTGGGGATTTAGCTCAGTGGTTTTGCTGCCTGCTGCGCAAGCACAAAGACCCCAGTTTGATCCCCGGTACCAAAAAAAAGAGGCAAGTAGAAAATAAAGATGGATGGTCAATTACAACTATTTTCTACTGCTTCCTATTACAGCCACAAATAACAGAGCCTTCAGATGAAGACTAATTTACTTAACTGAATATCATCAAGACATTATAAATGAAGGCCTGACTCACAGGCAAAGCCAAAAGGAGTTCCAAACCAGTCAATCAGCAAAACAAATGGCATCCTGGTAAATCCTTAACATACCTTGCTTCCCAAAGATCCAACACATACCTTTTCTATGGAAGAGAGACTGCTGGATATAGTCTGGTGCAAATGGAGAAAGAACCCTTAACCACCTGTGAATGAAATAAATAAAATAAATCCAAACTCAAATATAAATACTGGGAAGTTAACTAAACTAGAGTTTCCAAACTAGGGAAAACCTTAGTTATGAAATTGTTTCTACATTTTAAGAAATTTCTTGTCCTATTACCAGGTAAATCATGGCATAAATGTCAGAAAGTACAAAGCAGCTAAAAGTTTATGAAGATAATAAAAGTTCAAATGTCTCATTTTACTTCAAATAATCACAACTGTAGCACTGTAAGTTATAAGATACTATATTAAACAAACAGCACTACAGCTCTGCCTCTTTCCTCTGATCATCTAGTTAAGTATTAACCTGGAGCTATCACAAAGAATGCAAAGTCAAACCCATTATATATGTCTCAATATCAGTTTCATTAGGTAATGTTGATGATTATTTCTATAATAGTTTATATTACTTCCCTACAAAAGGAGCTTTCCAAGTCTATGGTTCTCAAGTTGGGGTACATAGAAAAAACCTTGGGAAGCATGTTAAAAAGCCCAGAAGCCAAGACCATCCTAATCTAGAAGGGTAAAATGAACCACACATCAATTTTCTGAATGAAGTAGTCTCTAGCACATTAGCTTAACAACAATGACTACCTTAACCTTTACTAAATCTATTAATTTTGTGGTGGGGGGAGATGGGGGATTGAACTTGGGACCTTGCGCTAGCGAGGCAGGCAGCTGAACCACTAAGCTAACTCCCCGGCCTAAATCTACTTTTGCTTACTCCAAAAAGAAAGCAAATTTGATTAATTTTAAATCCAATCAGTTCTCTAATATGTGTGTCAACACAACCAGTTTCAGTATATGGAGTTATTTTAGTGCATTTTCTGTTCATGTGTGATGCAAAGTACATATTTACACAAAGGTACTCTTTCCTAAGTCAGAAAGCCAATTAGAAAGAAATGTCGGGCCGGGGATTTAGCTCAGTGGTTTTGCCGCCTGCTGTGCAAGCGCAAGGATCTGAGTTTGATCCCCAATACCAAAAAAACCCCCAAAACTGGATGTAATTTTGGGGTCGAGGATTTAGCTCAGTGGTTCCGCTGCTTGCCCTGCAAGAGGAAAGACCCGAGTTCAATCTCTGGTACCAAAAAAACCAAAAAACAAAGAAAAAAGAAAGAAATGTCTAGAGCTCTCAAGATCATCTAGTTGAAGCCTGAATAGTTCTCAAGTTCATATCACAAATACTTGTCCAATCTTTTCTTAAATACCTCATTGTGGGAAAATCGCACATTGTTCATTAAACTTACCAATTAAGCCATAGGACCCTGAATTACAAAACAAAGAGCAAAAGCAAAACAAAACAGAACAAAAACTCATCTCAGAGTAAACAGATATTTGCTCACCTGTCTCGCGAATGGTTGAAGACCCTGATCTGTCCATGACGGTAGATAAACTTTGAAATCTCATATGGCTTTAGTGAAATATGAAATGGAGACCAAGTTTCTTGTCGTTCAAATAACTCTGGATGATTACACACCTAGGGGGAACAGAAATGGGACAGTACTGTCATGTGCACTCTATGAAATGATGAGGGAATCCCCAAACCTGAATGTTTATCTTTGTGAATGTTTGTATTCACCTTTTTATAACAGTCTTTGCTTATCTGGGATCAAGCCTTTTCCTTGAGGTAGAATAATAAAAACAACACCAGGGCAGGTGGGCTAAGATCTTACCTTCCTAAACTGCATGACTAGGTTCATGAGGCTGCTGGTGGTGTTCTGTGCTTGCTGGGTTGAGCCCATAGAAGACTGCAATAGATCCTCAATAGAAATTTTGTTCTTCAATGCCTGATATAAGAGCTTTTGTCGGCTGGTCAGCTGGCAGTACATTAGAATCTCAATCTAAAAAGCAGCAAGGATACTGATATTTGGAAAAATCATTTGTAAGAAAACTCATTATCAGCCTAAAATTGAAAATGCATACAAACCAGATTATGATTATGAAAACAATACTTCCTTGAGCTCATTATCTCCATAAACCTGTTATATGTGTGGCTGGACAGAAACAATGTTCTTTCCTTGACTTTTTTTCTCCCTGACTCACTCTACATGCTCTCCCTGAGCAATCTCTTCCATTGCCTATAGCACCAATTATCACTCTTCACAGTAATTTGCAAAAACACACTCTCCCCCACAAAAAAAAACACTCCCAAATATTTCAAAACATTCCCTGCTCCATCTTGTCAACTACTATTGAAAGTACCACTCAGACAGTCTGTAATTGTATTATGTCCTGTATCAGGAAAAAGCAATTATCTTTTCCAAGGCAAGCATGGTGGTACATCCCTACAATGTCAGCATCTGGGAGGCTAAGGCAGGATAGGGAATTTAAGCACAGCCTAGGCAGTTTAACATTTAGTGAGGTCCTGGCTCAAAGTAGAAAATAAAAAAAGGGGGCCGGGGATTTAGCTCAGTAGTTCTGCTGCCTGCCTTGCAAGCACAAGGACCAGAGTTTGATCCCCAGTACCAAAAGGAAAAGAAAAGAAAAAAAAGGCTGGAGATGGAGAATATGGTTTGGTGTGAATGCCCAGGGTTCAACCCCCCATACCACTCTTCCTCCAAAAATCCTGTCTATCTATCTATCTCCATGCCCCAAACAATTTACTAAACTTATTAATAGTATTATAATTCATTAGTTGCCCGAAGACAAATTTCAATGAACTCTGATTTCTTTCATACTTGATGTTCCACCATTTCCTAAATCCTTCAATTCAACCTGGAAATTTACTGCCAAGCATTCCCAATATCCTATAGCAGGCCTTCATCAGATCTAGTCTAGACTGCTATTATTTTTGGGTCTTCCTGCCTGTAGTCTGTCCTGATTCTACTGTACTTCTCACAGAAATTTTATAAAGTAATTAAACTGCTGAAAAACCTATAATGTGCAAGATAGCTATCAAGATTTTAAGAAAAAGGAATAAAATAAAGGTACAGATTTCTCTTTGAAGAAGGTTTACATCCCCACAACAATCTCCCAAAGAGTCCCTAATGTGAATATGACCCAACCTTCTGGCAGGAATAGGGGGAAAACAATGGACACTACCAAGTAGTGTCCTACTTTCCTAAGTAGGAAAGTTGCCTCTTAAGGTAGCCAGCATAACTGTAACAGGTAGAATCTAGGGATGATGGGGAAATTCCCCAAGAACAGAAAGCCAGGAAAAAAAGAAGAATACAGGAAAGAATCATAGGAATTAATAGTATATTACAAAATCTGGAAAGAAGTCAAAAAAGGTTACTTATAAACCAAAATCACTGACTTTATTAGGAAAAAAAAATATATACCCCAAAGCACATTAAACGTTTTTTGGGGGGCACGGTTTGGAGACAGAGTCTTCCTGTATAGTCCAGGCTGGCCTTGAACTTGCAGCCACTCTCCTGCCTCAGCCTGCCGAGTGCCGGGATTACAGGTGCACACCACCATGCCCGCCTTTTTGTTTTGTTTTGTTTTTTGAGATGCAGCCTCAAGCTATATAGTTCAGGCTGGCCTGAAACTCGGGGAGATCCTCCTGACTCAGCAACGTAAGTGCTGGGGTTATAGGTACACACCACACCCAGATCAACCTATTAATTTTTTGTTGTTGTTGTTACCAGGGATCGAACTCAGGTCCTTGTGTTTACAAGGCAAGCAACGGAACCACTGAGCTAAATCCCTGGCCCTAACCTATTAATTCTTAAAGAAAGAAAAGCATGGACAGATAGACACAAGGATAACCCAACACTGAATGAACACATGACACTGTCATGGGATTGTCTTTTTTGTATGGATGGTAATGACATCTGATTATGTAGTTTTTAGAAAGACCAAATCTTTCAGATATACATATGAACATATTAATCCATGAGGTCAGGCATGGTGGCACATGCCTGTAATCCCAACTACTTGGAAGTTGAGGCAAGAAGACTGCAAGTTCCTGGCCAGCCTGGGCAACTGAGTAAGACCTTGTCTCACAATCAAATATAAAAAGGGTTGGAGATACAGTTCAGTGCTCTTGAGAGAGGAGACCACCCCTCCATATGGAACTGGGCAATTATGGGTTAACTGTGTTATTAGGCAACTATGGGTTAACTAGGTAACTTTGCTCTTTGTAGAATGTACCTGAGTAGCCATGACTACTTCTGTAATATGTCACCAAAGGAGCATAACAGACTCAGAAAATCCTGCCAGAACTCTTTGATCTCCCCCTCTCCACTGCTCTGCTTTGTGTACATCCTGCTTGCTATATTCCCAGGGAAACTCCAATGGAATTAAGCCTTGGGGATGGAAAAAGAGGTACACAAGGAAGTGCAAACTTCTATTCGGGGCTCTCAAGACTGACAGGAGTCACTCACTGAGCTGCAGGCATCATTAAAAGCCAATTTTTGCTCCTATCTTCCTGTTAAAGAGTTATCTGTGCTGGGGTCCTCACTGTTTCCTGCTTCATTCTCTGGGTTGACTCCCCAGTATACTACTGGGAAAGAAAAGAAAATATTTATAAATAAAAGAATCTTGGGTTTATGTCAGTATAACCCAGAGAGCTAGGAATGGCCATGACCTTATCACTGTTGAAGCTGTACAATGGACAAGTGGACTCATTTTACTATTCTTTCTACTATTGTGATGTTTCAATTTTTCCCTTAGTAAAATATATTAAATAAAAGGGGAAAATGCTACTTTCCTTTATTATTTGACTCATTTTAAGTCTTTAATTCACTCAAGTTTAAATTTCATCTCTCAATAAAACTAATCATGCTTCAACTAAATATACCAAGGAATACCCTGTCTTAATCCTAAATTGGTGCCTTGGACGTCAACTTTTCTTACCTTGTCAGACAGTTCATTTTCTACATCTTTCTTTATTCTCCTCAGCATAAATGGCTTCAAGATCATGTGTAAACGAGAGAGTTGATCTGAAACAGGAGGCCAACAAAATAATACATTATATTGACTTAATACACACATCAAATATCATGTTCATTTCTCCAAAACTTTTTTTTGTTTGTTTGGGTTTTTTTTGGTACCAGGGATCGAACTCGGGACCTTGTGCTTACGAGGCAGGCGCCAGAACCACTGAGCTAAATCCCCGGCCCTTTTTGTTTGTTTTTTTGAGACAGTGTCTTGCTGTGCAGTTCAGGCTGGTCTTGAACTCACTATGTAGCTCAGGCTGGCCTTGAGCTCATGGCAATCTTCCTGCCTCAGCCTTCCAAGTGCTGGGATTACAGGCTTGTACCACCACACCTGGCCTCCTAAACTCTTTAAATACTTTTTGGCTTGATTCTCTGAAAGCAGACTGGGGCTTTTTCCCAAGGAAAAAATGAATAAATTTCAATTTCCTACAGCATCTTGCTATGTAGCCAACTAGACAAATGTATTAGGTTCTATTTTCACTAGAATTCAGTTTTTGAGTGTTTTAGGATCATTTTGTCAATAACAGGGTTCTTACAAAGATCTAATGAAAACCATCTGAAACGAGGTTTACTTCAAAACCTATCTTTCAAAGGATGTCAGTAAATTAACAACTTGCAGCATAAAATCACTTAAAGGGCTTTTCTTACAGTTAGTTCGTAGATATCCTCTTATGTTTATGTAATAAACATCTCAGAACATTCTTAAAATCAGGCACATATTCAGCAAGGTCAAAAGTATTAACAAGTAGATTTAAAATGTTCACTATATGCTGGGCATGGTGGCACATGCTTATAATTGCAGCACTTAGGAGGCTGAGGCAGGAGGGTTGCTGTGAGTTTGAGGCCAGCCTGAGCTAGATAGTGAGTTCAAGGACAGCTTGAACTAATAGTGAAACCGTCTTTAAAATAAGTTCACTATATAAAAAATAATATAAATGGCTCTTCTAATATTCTTAGTTTTTATTTCAGAAAAAGCACAGCCCATTACACAAAGATAAAACTAATAAGTTTTTCAGGACCTATATGGAAATGAGGATGCGATAAGCCAAAATACAGTACTTTATGAATTAAGCTTACACTGCTTTAATTAAATAGTCAAGACAGTGTGGCCAATATCTACATTAGCTTGTTTCTGAGTCTTTCAAATATATCGAAAAAAATTTATATCAAAAGCACATAATTAATTTATAAGAGAACCCCCCGCCCCAGTTGATCCCTATACACTGGAAGAAAATCCTTCACACAGAAGAAAACACATACTTATGTAGTTATCCACACTTACAGGTCAGAAGAAAAGTAAGCTCCTAACGATACTCACTCTCATCAATGGCAGATTTGTTTTCAGCATGGCTCTCAATGTCCTTGGAAAACCATTCATTAAATTCTTCATGTGAATCAAATAAAGTTGGCATAATAAAATGTAACAAAGCCCAGAGCTAGAAAAAAAGAAAAACTAAAATCAAATGGCAATGCTATAGCAGTGTATGAGGATCTATTAGAGTCTAGAGAGTGAACGCCAGGTGGTTCGAGTGTGTGGTGGGGAGGGGAGTATCTTGTAGACGTGTGTGAGAGTGAAAGACTAAGCACAAGCACACTGCTCACTGGGTGTTGTAGCAAAATATGATTATTTTTCAATTAATTTCAACCTAAAAGTTTTAAAGTCCAACTGCTGCTCAGATTTTGCAGTGAGATATTTTAAAATATTATACATACACACACACCTTGGTTTATGAATTTAATTTGTTTTACAATTTGGAAGATAGCCGCATTTGTGTTTATGTGGGAAAGATGGCCAAGGTTGAGTCTGTTATGCAATGCTGAGTTTGTGAACGGAAGCAAAATGTTGTCAAACACTTTTGTTTGAGAACCAAGTTTTTGCAAACAGAAACATCTGTGAACCAAGGTATTACTGAATATAAAAGTCTATTCTATAATGGAACATAATCTGAGGTAACATAACTGGCTACTAAAAACCTTAGATCAGGGATCAGAAAATCACTATATATGGGGTCAAGTCTGGCCTGCCATTTATCTTTCTAAATGAAGTTTTATTGACACATGGTCAAGCCTGTCCATTTCTATACAGTCTATGACTGGTTTACACTACATAGGTAAAGTTGAGTAGTTACAACAGTGACTATATGGCCTGAAAAGTTTAAAATATTTACCGTTTAGTTCTCTACAGAAAGTTTTGACCCCTATTCTAGACCATCAATTATCCTTTCTAAAGGAAGAATTTAGTTCTTCTTGGAAGAATACAGTGGTATTTCAATTCACCCACTTAATTTTTTCCACGATTCTGGTTGCAGAATTCATTTCATGATTCTACTATTTGGTTGCAACCAGAATTGTGGAACAAATTCTATGACCAGAATTGTGGAAAGAATTAAGTGTGTGAACCAAGGTACCACTATATTACCTGGCAAGCATAAAAACATTTCTGCATTAGATGTGTAACATTTCCTAATGTGGCCACTATTTATTACATAAATATATAAAAATAAAATAAAAATAAGAAAATAGCAATGGTGGCTAAAAAGACCACTTAAGGAAAGTCATGGTTGAATTTTTCCTTTATGTGGGGAATATAATTTGTACAGAGCAGCAGCACTCCAGGGAAGCATAGTGAAGAATTCTATGATGTCTGGAACTCTGTCTTTTTTTTTTTTGGTACCGAGGATTGAACTCGGGTCCCTGTGCTTGTGAGGCAAGCGGCAGAACCACTGAGCTAAATCCCCGGCCCTGGAACTCTGTCTTAAGACAAAAACCTGGGACCTTAACTAGAACCTACCTCAGCCATGGTGTTTTGAATGGGAGTCCCAGTTAGCAAAAGTCGATTCCGACACTGGAACTGTAAGAGGATCTTCCAACGAACACTGCCCAATAAAATGAGTTACAAATTCGCAAGTTATCAGTAAATATTTCTTTAATTATCTTACTGAGATGCCATATTTCTAAAAATGCTTTCAATATAACACTCAGAATCATATTCTATTATGTACACAATTGAAAAATATTATTCAGGGCCAGGGATTTAGCTCAGTGGCACCGCACCTGCCTCACAAGCACAAGGTCCTGAGTTTGATCCCCGGTACCAAAACAAATTAAAATAAAATAAATAAAGAAAGAAATATATATATATAAAATTCAACAAAGGTGAAGACATAAAATGAGCAGAACTGACTAGTTTATATAGAAAATATGGTATTAGGGTTTAGAAAATGATCAATGTATGATTTATGTATGTTTTATTCCCCAAAATGAAGGTAAATATTATGTATCACAAACATACAACAATTTTTTTAAAAAGCAAAGAAGGTAAAAAACCCAGCTCTTTAACAGGCAGAGAATGATCTCTTTCTGGCTTTAGAAAGTCTTCTCTTATCCTCGGTCGGTTTTCTATTTTTTAAAATATAAGTCATTTGGGCCGGGGATTTAGCTCAGTGGTTTCATTGCCTGCTGCGCAAGCACAAGGAACCAAGTTCGATCCCCAGTACCAAAAAA